CCCCCCAAAAAAAACCCGTGCCGGCACCGGGACGAGCCTGGACCACCGGGACGAGATGCAGGAGAGCTACGAGAGCGTCATCTCCCTGGGTGAGGTTCATCATTTCCCCCTAATTTCTTCTTCTTATTCGAGGAGACTAAAATTCAATTAATTACCTTCATTAGCGGCTGGATTGGTCGGGTGTAAAAGCACCAAAATTGCCAGGATTGAGCTTAAATAGAGGTGGTGGAGGGGAGCAGAATTCAACCGGGGACCCCGTTTCCAAGCGTGGCTTTCCGGTTGCCGGTGCTCTTGGCCATCCCCATCCCGGCGTTCGAATTTCTCTGCTTTTTTTTTTTTTTTTTTTCGGGGGTGGAAAAGAGCTCAAACCGATATCCAACTGTCTCCCCTAGCCGAAGAAATCGCCATCAGTTGGCCGCGCATCACCGCCTTCGCCGAATCGCACCGGAGGAGGGGGTTGGTAACCGGTAAGTCAGCCGACGGCGATACCGCCGATGACCGCGAGCGTGTTTCGGAAGCCCTAAAACTATGGGGTGATGGGTGCAGGAGATGGGGAAGCCGCCAGATGGGTCTGCCGTGACGCAGGGAGGGATGCGGGTGGCCAACCGGTGGGTTTTTGGCAACGGGGGTGGGATCCTCACCCCCTTTTTTCCCTGTAGACGATGGGTTGTTGAGTGAGAACGAAGAGGAAGACCCACCGCCGGGCGAGCTGGAGAAGGTGGACGCCGAGGGGACGCCGGCGGGGAAGCCCAAAGGGACCAGCCCCACCGGCGCCGAGGGGCCAAAACCCGGTGACAGTCCTCAAAAACCGGAGAACCAACCCAGAAAGCCACCGGGCAAACGACAGGGGAAATCGGGCCACCGTAGCTTCAAGAAATTCCCTCCTCGCGCCTTGCTCGGCCACGGCCGCTGCCACGACTGCGGCAAAGCTTTGGCGTTCGGTTCCGCCTTCAACAAACGCCGGCGAGGGACCGAACGACCCCATAAGTGCCCCGAATGCGGGAAATGTTTTCGGCTCAGCTCCACCCTCATCACCCACCAACGCCGGCACGCCGGCGACAAACCCTACAAGTGCCCCGATTGCGGCAAAACCTTCAGCGTCGGTTCGGCTTTCATCCAACATCAACGGGTGCACGCCGGCACCGGTGCCGGCGCGGCGCCTTGCCAATGCGGCGTCTGCGGGAAGAGTTTCCCGGCCACCGCCAGTTTGGTGAAGCACCAAAAACTACACCTGGAGGAAAAACCCTACAAATGCGGGGATTGCGGGAAGGGTTTCAACTGGAATTCCCACCTGGAACGGCATCGCCGGATCCACACCGGCGAAAAGCCCTACGCCTGCCCCGAGTGCGGTAAAAGCTTCAGTTGGAGCTCCCACCTCGACCGGCATCGCCGTACCCACGCCGTCGCCGGCGAACCCGCTTGCCGTTGCGCCGATTGCGGCCGCTGCCCCACTCCTCGCGGCACCGACGGCTCCAAAACCCCCGAGAAACCTTTGCAGTGCAACGAATGCGGCAAGGGCTTCACCAAGAGCGCGGCGTTGGCCAAACACCGGCGCGCTCATGCCGGCGAGAAGCCCTACAAGTGCGGGGAGTGCGGCAAAGGTTTCGGCTTGAACGCCGCCTTGTTGCAGCATCAACGGAGCCACGCCGCCGGCAAACCCTACCAATGCGGTGATTGCGGTAAGAGCTTTGCCTGGAGCTCCCATCTTGACCGGCATCGGCGTATCCACATGGGTGAGAAACCCTACCGCTGCGGGGATTGCGGGAAGAGCTTCTCCCAGAGTTCCCACTTGGAGAGGCACCAACGTGTCCACGCCGGCGCCGAGCAACCTTGCCAATGCACCGATTGCGGGAAGAGCTTCTTGGCCTCCAACAAACGCCGGCGGCTGTTGACCGGCACCGGTGAACGACCCTGTAAGTGCACCGATTGCGGGAAGAGCTTTCTTTGGGGTGCCCGTGCTCGACCGGCACCGGAGCGAACCCATAAGTGCAGCGAGTGCGGGAAGAACTTCACTTACCGGGCAGAGAACGTCAAGCACCAGGGGACGCAGACGGGGGAGAAACCCTATACCTGCCCCGAATGCGGGAAAAGCTTCGGGCAAAATTCGGCGTTGGTGAAGCATCGCCGGATGCACACGGGAGAAAAACCCTACAAGTGCGGAGAGTGCGGGAAGAGCTTCAGCGTCCGTTCCAACCTCATCAAACATCAACGGACCCACCTTGGCGAGAAGCCCTACAAGTGTCCCGATTGCGGGAAGGGTTTCATCCAGAAGTCGGACCTCACCAAGCACCGCCGGATGCACACCGGGGAGAAACCCTACAAGTGCAACGTCTGCGGCAAGTGCTTCAGCGTCTCCTCCAACCTCATCAAGCACCAACGCATCCACCTCGGCGAGAAACCCTACCAGTGCTCCGAATGCGGCAAGAGCTTCATCCAACGTTCCGAGCTCACCATCCACCAACGCGTCCACACCGGCGAGAAACCCTACAAGTGTCCCGAGTGCGGCAAATGCTTCAGCCGCAGTTCCCACCTCAACCGCCACCAACGTACCCACGCCGGGGAC